GGTTTTTTTTTTTAAATCTTTTTTCCTTTACCTGTTAACAGCGTTATTTATTATCATTTTTTTTATGAAATCCTAAAACTTCATCTATATGTTTCATTGTAAAATAATTCTAAAGATATTCCTACCATTTCCCACTGAAGTTAAGAAGCAATATTGAAATTACTAACGTCACTCATGTATTTACAGGATTGGAATTTTGAAGAGCAAGCAAACATTTATCTCTTTCAAAATTCACCAACTCATGATTAGAATATTCATCCTTGACCAGTTTTTTTTAATAGAAATTTCAACATAAAAAATTATGTAGGAACTTTTAAAATTGAACGGTTAAAATAAGAGTTTTAAAATATAAGAGATAAACTGAAAATAATATTAAAATTTAGGGTACCAGTGACCCATAAAACACTTAAAAAGCATTGAATTAAAATTAAAGGGAAACACCAATACGGAATAAGGCCATGCCAAGTTAGTAAGTATTAACAAGTTTTAAAATTGTTATGATGTTTGAAGGTTGCGCTTATTGTGGGATAAACATTACATCCGTATAAAGGTAAAGATGGAGGAAAAGTAGTATTGCGACCGTCGAAGGAAGAGAGATTTAGAGAGAGAGAGAGAGAGAGAGATTTAGAGAGAGAGACATGGTGACGGATTTGTTGATCCGTGGGTATACGTATTTCTTCGTAGCACTGCTGTTTTTGGGACTCGTGCCTTTAGGCACATCATCGAATTCAAAAGAGCAGCTGAGCTCCAGCGAATGCGAGAATCTGGGCTTCACAGGCCTCGCTCTCTGTTCTGATTGCAACACGTTTGCTGAGTACGTCAAGGACCAAGGTCTTCCTTTCAATCTTTTTGTTTTTTTTCATTTTTTCCCTGGTTTTATTTGATGTTGTTCAATCAAGATTGTCTTTTTTTTTTTTTTTTTTGCTGGGTCAATTTAATTGCGCGACATTTTTCTTCAATTACATGCTTGATAGAAATATTGATTAGAGTCCAGGTTTTAAGTATTCAGGATCAGGATTGACTAGAATTATTAGTAGTTTTTAATTTTGAATTTATATTTCGGTAAATCGCTGCTTGAATTTTGATCTGGCTATGTCGGAATCTTTCGTTTGGGGTTCTTTTCTTTTCTTTTTCCGTTCTAAATTTGAAGTCTGATTGAAATGAGTAGTGATGAAGCAAGCATTGTTAACTTTATATACAATAGGAGCTATGAAATCTACATAATTCATAGAGTTCTAAATAAATGACCCATAAAGCACTTAAAAAGCATTGAATTAAAATTAAAGGGAAACACCAATATGGAATAAGGCCATGCCAAGTTAGGAAGTATTAACAAGTTTTAAAATTGTTATGATGTTTGAAGGTTGCGCTTATTGTGGGATAAACATTACATCCGTATAAAGGTAAAGATGGAGGAAAAGTAGTATTGCGACGGTTTCTTTAAACTTTTAAGACATGACGCGAAGTTCATGTGATTATCTTCACGAAATTTTACTAATTCATTGTCGATCTTATGGCTAGGGACCGAAACTGCTAAAAGGAATATTAAAATTCAGGGACTAATTGACCAAAAAAGGGAGAAAGACCAAATTTTCTTCCAGAAACCACTTTAGTAGTTATGTTGTCACCATAAAGAGGGTGGCTTTGTTTCAACTTAGTGGAAAAATGAAACTTCAATTTAAGATGCTACGAAATCCTATGATTTCCTTAAGTTTGCAGGACTATTTATTCTCTTAATGATATAATGAATGGCTAGTGTCTTGATGTTTTGACTTGTTCATCAGAGTCAAATTGGCCCATCGATGTAAAGTTTCATGAGACTTGTACCCTTTACTTGTAGCATGACTGAAAGAGTGCTAAAAGCTCCGAGTTTTTGTTGCAGAATTGGTATCAGACTGTTTAAAGTGTTGCGCAGAAGATTCTGATGATTCTACAAGCAAGGTATGCATGACTTATCACATAACCATTTGGAAGTTGATAACATGCTTTAGTTCTAAATCTGGTTGTTCTTGAGACTAACATTTTGAATATGATATTACTATCACTTTTTTGTTTTTCTCATATTTTGTATGGGATTATTTTATCTTGTACTTTATTTCAAGAAAGAAAGAAAGACAGAATTGCCTAAGGAAAAACTATTTTGTACTTCAGATTACCTATTCTGGTGCCATATTGGAGGTCTGCATGAGGAAACTGGTTTTCTATCCTGAAATTGTTGGTTTCATTGAAGAAGAGAAGGATCGGTTCCCTTCAGTTAAAGTACAATACCTTTTCAATTCACCTCCAAAATTGATAATGCTCGACAATGCCGGCCAACCCAAGGAAACAATTAGGTAAGAATTTCCAAATCAGTTACAAAAGAAACAGAAATTTATTGATTCAAGAAAAAGTAAGCTTGTAGAGAGATTCTTCTGTGGCTCAAAAGCTTCACAATCACATACCAAAAAAAAAAAAAAAAAAAAAAAAAAAAAAAAAAAAAAAAAAAAAAAAAAAAAAAAAAAAAAAAAAAAAAAGGGGGGGCAAAACAAACAAACAAACAAAGCATGTAAAAAAGAGAGGGAGAATAACTTTAGAAGTTGTCTTTTGTTTTTCAATTTGGATGAGAATGGAATGCAGAATTTTTTTTGAGCGGCTCGTGTTGTCTAATGCTAGATTGAAATTATATAAACAGTTTCTCTAGCTTTCTGAAAAAGATTATAATGCTGAACCAAAAGAGAATGAGAGGAGAGGAGAGAAATAGAGGAAAAGAGAGAAGTAGTGAGAGAGTCTATATGTAGTCAGTTAATACTCATCGAGTCTGCCCCAGATGTTCTACATGGTGGCATTTTATAATGAGAAGAAAAGCCTCTTCTAGAAGCCAAGCAAACTGATAGGAACTTGTTAGTTGGTTAGAGAAGTAGTAATGATAGGAACTTGTTAGTTGGTTAGAGAAGTTAGTAGTTAGTTAGCTGAGAAGTTGTATGATGCTGTGGGTTGCATTGAGAATAGTCGGTTAAGGTGGGGGGCTGTACAGGGGATTGTCGGTTAGGAAGGAGGGGGAAGTGAATAAATAGGGAACAAGCTGGGATTAGAGAGTCAGGAAATTACTGGAGTCTGTTTGGGAAGTCTTGGCTGAGGCTGAGCAAGGGTGTGTCATAGTATTCGTAGGATTGTTTGTAATTTGTTTGGTTAATCAGTAAAGATTACATTTTCATTCTTCTTGATTCTTTTCTGTGGGAACCAAACTCTGTTCTTATCACAAACATTACCTAGAGATAAAACATGATAACAATATAGTACATAGCCTGTGGTCCATCTTTTTATCCCTAGTGTTAGTTTTCAATTATTATTTTGGTCATATCCATTAGATTAGGTTTTACATTTGTTATGGTTAGTGAGTTTGAACCCTATTTCTATCGAAACTCCTTGAAGAAAAACTTAATGGACTGTTGCAGGATCGACAACTGGAAACGCGAACATATACTGCAGTTTCTGAAAGAGAAGGTCAAGCGTACTTCAGCATACTGAGAGTCGTCTTCAAATCTTGATGACATTTGATTAATCACGGCCTCAATCCTTTCTTGTCATTGATAAGGAGGAAGATTTGCGGTAGAAGTAACTTTTGGACTTGCAAACTGAAGTTTGTTGATGTGGAAATGCATGTTGATATCATCATGTGTGATGGACTGCCAACATGGTCTTTTACTTGGATTATAGGGATTTGGTTTATTTGTGTGTGTACTTTTAGATGATCATAAATAGGATCACAGGATTGGCCATTTACAAGATTCAGCAGATTTACACGATAATTGGTCATTATTAAGACTTCTTTTGATTACTATTGTACACTTTGATCCTTTAGACTAATATTTATTCTTATTTGTCTGAATAAATCTTTGAAAAGGAAAAAAAAAATGTTACTTTCTTCCAAACTCGTATTAAAAAAAGTTTAACCGTCTTAGTTCCTGTGCAATCCAAGATATTCGTTTGAAAATATGTCTAAACCCCTCCCTTTGTCCCTTTTGCTCATTATTATATAACAAAAAAAAAAAAAAAAAAGGAGGAATACGATAAAATATTTTCCAAATAATCTTGCAAAAAATTAGGAGGAATACGATAAAATGTCCTCAAACTGTAATGACGAATGTATATTTATAGCCAAAGACTAAGATAAATTCAAAACAGGCAACATTTATCCTAGTAATTAGAATCTTCTTCAGTCTCTTTCACTTGCCGTGTCAATCTTAAATCCCTAGTTAAGAGTTGGAACCCACACGAATTTATACACAACAAGAATGTGGTGTATAGATATGTTTTGGAATCCATTTTTCTTGATATTCCAGTTTTATCTATAAAAAAAGCCATAATTGCCCTTGTCGTTATTTAGTACAAAGTTGAAGATTATTTAATCTGGTTGGTACGAAACTTCTAGCTTTATTAGTCCAATAAGTGTATCTGTAAATTGCTTGTATGAAAACACACTCGGTGTATCTGTTTCAGAGGTCTTAAGTAGTTGGTACTTTAGCTATATGGCATTTTTTCTCATGCTCAATCCTCTTTCTGCATTGGATGTCTAAGGATTTCTTCCCTTGTTTGCTAAATAGGAATCGTGGTTACAAATGATGGAAATGCCATTCTGCGTGAATTAGATATCGCCCACCCTGCTGCAAAGGCATGGAACATCTCTCTTACTGTGCCTCAATTTGTTTCTATTTCTTCTCAAATTTTGTTTTGGACTTTAAAACATGTTTTATATTTTCGATTCTGGCCCGTTTAGTTCGCTGATTCGAGTTTTTAATTCGAGTTAAGATGTGATTTTATGTGAGAGCTTTTTACTGTAGCAAAAAAGTTAGATGTGATTGTTTGTGAGAGCTTTTTACTGTAGCAAAACTCGAATTCTAAACTCGAATCAGCGAAATGAACGGGACCACAGTATTTCTGATATGTTTTCCCCATATTCTATTGCTGGCAGTCAATGATTGAACTAAGCCGTACACAGGACGAAGAAGTAGGAGATGGAACGACGTCTGTTATCGTTCTTGGTATGTTATGAGTGTAGAATATTAGGAGCTTATCATCTCTTTCACATCTGTGGTAGGTTCTTGCCATAAGATTATTTGCAAACTCTCGATGTATCGAGTGGCAAAAGCAGAGTTCTTACCCAAGCATTGCTTTTGTGAACTTGGCATCATAACATGCCCAGATAACCAAACATCATTTCTTCTGTCTCTGACATCTGGCTTAAAAATTTTGCTGTAGCTGGTGAAATGCTCCATGTTGCAGAAGCATTTATTGACAAAAATTATCATCCTACAGTTATTTGCCGAGGTAATGTTATAATAGCTTGTGGTAATATTTTATTGATGATGGTTCACTACTCTGTCTTTATTCATGTTTTATTTGATATTCAGCCTACAGTAAAGCTCTAGAGGATGCTATCGCTGCGCTTGACAAAATTGCTATGCCCATTGACGCGAAGGATCGTAAGTTTTCTTAAAACTCGCCCTTTGCGATTTGTTTTTTAATATTATCTTCTTCTAATTGAGGATATCTGGAAGACAATATATATTTTTTTTTAAACGAGGAAAAGGGTGTGTAAAAAGGTTGATATGGTACAAGTGATTTATGGAACTATTTATCAGGTGCGACAATGTTGGAGCTGGTTAAGAGCTGTATAGGCACAAAATTCACAAGTCAATTTGGAGATCTGATTGCTGTATGTATTTTCCGCTATTTTTTTTAATTACTTTGCTTGTCTGGTCATGTGGACTAGTTGAGACAAGATGCTGACTCGTGCATTTCTTCTTAGTATTGAATGTCAACTCCTTCTCTGTTTCTTTGGCGTAGGATCTAGCAATTGATGCCACCACAACAGTGGGAGTTGATCTTGGCCAAGGGTTGCGGGAAGTAGACATCAAGAAGTACATTAAGGTCGAGAAGGTACCCGGTGGACAGTTGGAAGATTCCAAAGTACTTAAAGGAGTAATGTTTAACAAAGATGTTGTTGCTCCTGGAAAGATGAGAAGAAAGATTGTTCACCCACGTATCATACTTCTTGATTGTCCCCTTGAATACAAAAAAGGTGAGAACCAAACAAATGCTGAACTAGTCAGAGAAGAAGACTGGGAAGTCCTATTGAAGATGGAAGAAGAATACATTGAGAACCTCTGTGCACAGATTATTAAGTTCAAACCAGACTTGGTAATCACGGAGAAAGGCCTTAGTGACTTGGCATGTCATTATATGAGTAAAGCCGGTATTAGTGCTATCAGGAGGTTGAGGAAGACGGATAATAACAGGATAGCTAAGGCCTGTGGTGCGGTTATTGTCAACAGACCAGATGAATTGCAAGAGTCTGATGTTGGTACTGGAGCTGGGCTGTTTGAGGTTAAGAAGATAGGAGATGAGTTTTTCACTTTCATTGTTGATTGCAAAGATCCTAAAGCTTGTACTGTACTACTTAGAGGTGCGAGTAAAATCTCTCTACCTTCTTCCTCTTTGATAGGGGTGTTCACGGATCCCAATCTGCAGATTGAAGGCCAATCCACAATCCGATCCAGAACTGCGGATTGGAAGAATTCTAATCCATGTCAAATCCAAAACCTTTTCGGATTGGATTCACGGATTCACAGATTTCGACCTTCAAAAATATAAATTAATAAACATCCATACAAAATATAAACACAACATGAAATATTAATACACATCTAAATTGTTACTTCAAGCAAAAAAAAAAGGTCTAGATTGTTACAAACCAATTAACAATAACAAAATAGATTTAGTGAAGCTCAAAATGAAATTTTAATCGTTACTTTAAAATAATTCAACATCCACAAATACTTAAGTTTTTTGCAAAAATAACAAAACATACATAAGTTTCCAAACATACACAATAAGTTTCCAAACAAAGATATGCATAAGTGCTTTTAAACATATACCATATTTAAAAAAAAATAAAAAAATTGAACTCATAAAATTTATATATATAATTATATATATATGGTTTCAGATTCATGGATTTCATGGATTAGAAAGTGCTCAATCCGCAATCTGATCGAAAACTTTCAGATTGGAAAAATCTCAATCCGTGTCCGATCCAAAACTACTTTCAATCCGATCTAAAATTTCAGATTAATTAAATTTCACGGATCAATCAGATTTACGAATTTTGTGAACACCCCTACTCTTTGGTTTCCTCCCGTTTTCCATCTTTACCAAACACTACGTAAAGCGTATATTAGATATTCACATTTCATGTGTCATTGTTATGGTAGACTAGTTAATAAATTAACTGGTACACTTTGCAAGATTAAAATAAGAGGATCCATTTAATTCAGATCATATGGTCTCTAGATTCGAGTTTGCATAGAAGACGACTCGGTGAGTGAAGTCAAAGAGCTCATTACTGCCTTTGTTTTTTATTTTTTTATTTTCAAAAAGCCTAAACTACCAGCGAACACTCTTATGCCTATTCATATCACCGATTCGACTTTTACTACAATAAAAAGCTCTCATAAATAATCACATCTAATTTTTTTACTACAATAAAAAACTCTTATATAAAATCACACCTAAACTTAAATCAGCGAACTAAACGGGTGTCTAGTAACTGCTGATTTAAATATCACTATCAACAATGGCTTCTTATTATTTTTTTATAAGAGAATCTGTGACAGTGACCCGTGATATTTGCATTACCGGTACCCAATCTAACGGCTGACATTCAAGAAGAGATGAAAAGGTATGGTTTATAATAATGTTAATGTATGATACACTACACCAGATTGGAATCTCAACTCCACCCTCGACTGCACGAGAAAATCATGATATTTTTTAGAGAGATAAATTTCAAACTTTTTCCACTAAGGGCAACGAAATTAGAGAGAGGATATTGGACCTAATTAACGGCAGAGGCACATGTTTTTCCCTTCGGAATTTCCGAATTTTTGTTTATGAAAAATCACCTAATTGTTCCAACAAAATTTTATTTTCATCCACAAAAAAAGTAGGAAAAATCTAATTAAACGGGTTTTGAATCACAAACGAGAAAAACTTCACAAATTTATAAAACTATAAATTAGTAAGGAAAAATCCTTGGCCATGTTGATGATTTGAAGAGAGAGATTTCACGATCTGAATCACTTTCCCATGCTTTCTATATAACAATTCGACTTTCCGAGCCGTTAATTACCATGAGCTCTACTTATTTTAATTGGAAAACCCTTTAATCATGTTGGACGTACACTTAATTACCAAAATTTCAGATTTTTTTAACTTCTTTTAATTTTAAATTTTCCTTTCATTTACTCTCACGGATTTGTGAAATAAAACTTTATGAACTATGCGTGGGAAACTTTACCGAGATTTTAACTACTAATAATATTAATATTAAAACATAGTTCTATGTAGTGCCGGAACTTCAGGTCGGTGGGTTGCCCGAAGTTCGAATTTTGTTAGGCTCGGACGGGCAAGCCCATTTCCCGCCCGTCCAAGCAAGATTTTCGGGTTCGGGCTCGGGCAGCCCGAATTTGACATGTCCACACTTGCTCGCCGTCGTCTAACCACCGTATACCGCCGTCTGCCGGGATTTTTTTGAATTTTTCTGACCATGCCCAGCGGGTTGAGTTTGGGCTCGGGCAAATCCTCAAACTTTTCGGGCGGCCCGTCTAAAGTTCCAGCACTAGTTCTATGTACCTATAAGTCCAATAATATTCAGAATGTGTCAAGTATTTTTAAACAGAAACTAGTAAGTCTATTTCTTTAAAAGCATTTAGATTAACGTGCCTGGAAATTTCGTTGCATGGTGGTATCTATACTTTTGCCTCCGTCATCCACATCCGCTTCGAGCGCAACATTGCTACCGATTTACAACTTTTTTGCCTACAGTATGAACAAAATTTATGAGTAAAAGTTGAACAAGTACAAACAAATCCCATAAAATATTTGTATAATAAGGATAATTTTAATTTGGTATCCTATATTACAGAGAAATTATCTTTTAGTACCTCATGTTTTTTTTATATAATTTTAAATTAGTAACTCAGCGTTTTAAAAAATTAATTTTTAATAAATTTTTCCTTTTAATAATTTTTGATTTGGTAGAGCGGGGATAACTAATTCCAATAAGCTTTTTTTTTTTTTTTTTTTTTTTTTAATAATTTGGGGTGAGGAGATTAGAACTCCACAGTAGGTTTGTTGGAGTATATGAAATAGAAATTAATTTATGAAATTCGTTTTATTAATGTACACATTATCCAAATGAGGTTCAACATGCACTCATATAATGTTTATTTCCATTCAAGATCCAAGGCTTTTACAACGCTGATCAAGGTTCTTTGCATAGAGGGGTAGAGTGCATAGCTTGGTTGTTTGTGCTATGGAGGTTGGATCGGTCGCACGCATGTTGGGCGTCATTTGCGCGGAGGAGCAGAGCGTGATCTCGCGTAGACGGGTGGCGCAAGAGCAGTGACAAAATGAGTGCTACCTCTATCAGACAATAAAATTAATACAACGTCAGAGAGGGGAAGTTTAATTAGTTGGGTTTGAATTTGTCTTAAATTTTGTTTTTTTTTTACCTTATCATGTAAACAAAGGAATTCTACTCAACAAAAAAAACAAACTATAACGTAGTAATGCACGGCTTTATTCATATTATATTAACTTGATATTAGAACTTACAAGATGCCTCATTGGCACACATCTTATTCAAACAGTGAAAACATCGCATGAAATGCATATTATAAATAAAAATATAGACTTGGATTTTGACATAGTTGACCATCTTAAAGAGATATTAGGCTTTTGCAGATCCCAAATCTTGGATATAGACATTTCTGTGGGTAATTTTCCATCCTCATGAATTCCTTTGCTTGGCCGTGGCTCAAATTCATCTTTGAATCATTTCTCTTCTATGGGAACAACTTTTTTCTCTTGCTTGTCATACAATAGCAGGTTTGGTTGTGGCTCAAAATCATTAGCAAATGATTTCTCTTCTTTGGACACGCCCTTTTTCCCATCATATAAAAAGAAATTTGGTTGTGGTTCAAAATCATTTGCAAATGATTTCTCATCTCTGGAAACAACTTCTTTCCCATACTTATCATACAAAAGGATATTTGGTTGTGGTTCAAAATCATTTGCAAATGATTTGGCATCTCTGGAAACAACTTTTTTTCCATACTTATCATACAAAAGGAATTCTAAAAGGTAGCAAGACCAAAAATGCATTGTGCTTATATATAATGGTAAAAATTCAGTAACAATGGAAATGTAATGTAATGATTTATTCCTCTTGTATCACAAGAGAATGCAATTCGTGATTACGTTACATAAAAAAGTGCTAGCTAGTTAGAATAACAGAAAGGGCTCACCAATACAAGTGGAAGGATATGGAAGAGAACAGAACTCATATTACGAAGTCTCATGACTACAATGATACTGTTGCACCGAAAAATCTTAATTGTTTGTCGTTTGAATTTGCATAGATAAAAAAGACAATAATTGTCAAGAAATGTACAATAATTGTTGCGTCATAAATGACAATAATTAATTTTCTTTTCCAACTTGATAGTCCACAGATAATATCTGCATAAGTTGGAATTTACGCCAACCATATCCATACACTGTCAAGATAGAAAAAGCAACTTGCACATACTGTCAACAAAAATAATAAAAAAAAAAATCAATGTTTTATCCCAAAAAAAAAACCTTGGAAAAGGCAAGTTATGTGTGTATATATATGTATATTGATAATTTAAAAGGTGATATATTGTATTTATGTCATCACATTAATAATTGTACATTTCCTTAATATAAAACAACTAATCACGTTAAATGATTGCATAAAAAAACACATTTAAATGACTAAATAGTGGTTCTATTCATCTCTAATTATTTTTTTTTAATATTTATACATATTATTTCATTCAGTACTCAAGAGAGTTAATGAGGTTATACTAAGTCCCTTAATCTTAGAATTGTTTAGAATTGGTTAGTATTTACCAAATAGGAGGAACTTAGGAACAGTGAGTGAAATCAAGACTTTAGATACATTTGTGCATATAAATTTTCATATTTTATTTTATTTTCGTTTTTATATTTATTTTAGTTTTATTTTAATTTTAATTTTATTTCATTTAGTTCGGCTGTCTAGATAAAATTGAGTAATGATAATCAGGGTACTTAATAGTAATTTAACACTCAATCCCTGTGCAGACGATACTTACTCACTATTAATTATAAAAACTTGACACCGTACGTTTGCAGGCGAACACTAGCTTTGTCCCTGCTCATGGAATGATACTCACACTAGATTCGTCCCTGCTCATGGAATGATACTCTAGGCCTACTACTTAATTACTAATTTAAGATTCCGGGCACTTGCAGATTTTTCGCAACAATTTGATCATTTAACATGGTAGTATATCATAATCATGGTGGTTGTCTGATTGATTCCCACAACCAATATTATAACATTTGTTCAATAAAATGTGATTTTTTTATACAATCATTTAATAAAAAGTACAATGATAGGTGTTCTGATCATAGAAAATGCAATTTAACAATTTTTCTTTTCCAACATGCTAGTGCAGAGATAAGATCAGCGTACATTCCCATTATTAAACTGGTTTACTGGTTCTTGATTTTCTTTAGCT